TGACTTGTTTTTTAAAATAACATGTTTTAGGATAAACGTCTTGTACCTGGAGGTGGAGCAACAGAAATTGAATTAGCCAAACAGATCACATCATATGGAGAGGTATATGGTTTTTTGTGTATAAACTGACTTTCTTGTTGTTGTTTGAATAAAATTGAGTAACTAGCACATTTTTGTTTTAGACGTGTCCTGGACTTGAACAGTATGCCATTAAGAAGTTTGCGGAGGCATTTGAAGCTATTCCCCGGGCACTGGCAGAAAACTCTGGAGTTAAGGCCAATGAAGTAATCTCTAAACTCTATGCAGTACATCAAGAAGGAAATAAAAACGTTGGATTAGATATTGAGGTATTTGGGAGAAAAAAGTGAACTTTATTTTGTGAATGTACAACATAAAAATAGGCATTAAAAGGAAAATCAGAAAATGTTCTGATTTGTGAGCACAGGATTTTCTTAACACTCTTTTTCATAGTTTGTCTGATAGAGAATTTAGTTATCCTTCTGCTTTATAGTGTATATAGGGTAGTACTTTTGCCTAGCTACTTATTCTAGTTTTTATTTAAGTAGCCCTGTTCCTATTATTAAGTGTCAGTATGTTCACATAAACCTTTAGAATGAAAGCATAAAAACAGTTCTGTATTGACAGGCTGAAGTTCCTGCTGTAAAGGACATGTTGGAAGCTGGTGTTCTAGATACTTACCTGGGAAAATACTGGGCTATAAAACTGGCTACTAATGCTGCCGTCACTGTTCTCAGAGTGGATCAGGTGAGTGAGAAATTAAATACTGATCTTTAAAAATACTAATTTTTATGTAGTTCAAAGTATATTTTCATGGGCCTAAAACACAGTTCTCTTCCTATTCAAAGTAAAGTACTCCTGTTTTTCTGTTATAGTTTTACATTTTATTGAAAGTACTGATTCAGCTAATTTAAATTATTTTTCCAATGAAAGACTCCTTTGCCACTTGGGAAGTGAAATGGGTAAAATAAATCTCATTTAGATTCATAGTTTTCAAGACTTTTTTTCTTAAAACCCTTTTTTTTTTTTTTTCTTAAAACCCTTTTTAAGAGGAAGTTCCATATGGAATATGGAAGGGTCATAAAAGCCTGAAGCAGACATTGCAGACTACAGTATTCTCTCACTTGTTTGCAGTTTTGCTGTGGTTTCATTTTACCCACAAGTCATCTGTTATGCCAGACTACTGTATGGAAAATTCTAGAAAAATGTAATTCATATATTTCAAATTGCATGCCGTTATCAGTAGCGTGATGAAATCTCATGCTCTCCTGCTTCAGGACATGAACTATCCCTTCATCCAGCATATCCACGCTCTGTACACTGTCTCTTAGCCATTTCAGTGATCAGATCAACATATTTTACTTCCTGGTCCCAAAGTTGGAGAAGGAAATGGCAACCCACTCCAGTATTCTTGTCTGGAGAATCCCATGGACAAAAGAGTCTAGTAGACTACAGTCCATGGGGTCGCAAAGAGTCAGACATGACTGAAGTGACTTAGCGCACAGTCCCAAAGTACAGGAGTAGTGATGCTGCCAACTTGAATACACTCTTATTGTACCTGATTGATAAGACTTGTACGGGTGATAAAAGCAGAGCGTTGTTACATTTATAGGGTCCTTACTGTGCTGTTTCAGGCATCCACTCAGGTTCTTGGAAGGCATCTGAGGGGAAATGTCTGGACCACTATCTGTACCACCATCAAGGAAATGTGGAGATGACAGGGCCTGGTGGTTAAGAGCGTTCTTCTGTGACAAATGTTGTCTTGGGGGTTTTAAGGTCCTCAGGTGTTAAAATTATCATAGTATTTCTGCTAATATTTTTTGAGGAATTAGGCAAAGAGGAAAAGTGGTGAAGACTATTTCGAATTGAGATAAATCAGAAATCACAATTTTTCAAAAAGGTGTTTTCTGGTACTTAATGAAATCTATTTTCTTACAGAATTCTAGGAGTGATTATTAACCAATGAATAATTTTTAAATATTGAGTAGAAAATTGTAATTGCTAGAGGCATAGTGTAAATCCATTTAATGAAAACCATTAAATGAAAATCATGCCGAATTAATCTTGGGAGAATCAAATTTTAGGTAGAAATGGAAAGGAAATAGTTTTACATAGAAATGGAAAGGAGATTGATCTAAGCAAGGACCAGTTGGCTGTAATTATAGCAAAACAGATTTCACTTTGGTAAAGAACTCTTTTCCTAGGTGAGATGACCAGAAATGGAACTGGATATCCATGGACTGGATTTAGTAATCATGCATTTTTATGTCAGTGCATCATACTGTTTGTAGAAAAAAAATGGTTTTGGAGTTTGTAAGCAAAGATAATGGGGGCCCCAAGAAAAAGTAGAAGGGGACAGAAGCTAAATAGACTGAAGCATGGGATAAGCAGTAAATTTTCACAGTGAAAGTTTGTAAGGAATATTTTGCATGTTAGTTAGCCAAGCAAGACAGTAGTGTTAATAACACAAGTGCCTTTCTCACACAGGTACTTCTGATTTTTGGGTTTAACCTAGGAAGGCTGTGTTATGTTTTACCCTAAGGGAGGATGTTCATTGTTTTTGCCATTAGCACTCTGTACATACCTATCTGAGGAACCCATCCAACTGTAACAAGCTTGTACTCTTCAGTATAGTTGTACGTAATTTTGCATAGTATGGATTTTAGAAAAGGACTTGAAAAGTTTCAGCATTGGACAGTGTAGTAGGGCTGGATTAGTGTTTGTTCGGGTGTGTACTAGTTCTCAAATTGTGCCCTAATCCATAGCATCCTTGTCACCTAACAACTTGTTAAAAATACAAATTCCCAGATCCACAGAATCAGAAACTCTGCAAAGAGGCCCATCAGTCTGTTACCTTAATTGAAGTATACTTAGGTTCTAAAATTATACTTACTGCTTTTAATTCAATCTGAATTTATCCCCAGTTGGTAAAATGTTATTGCAGGAATTTCAAGTTCTTTATGAAAGCAGCTTCTAAAAAGGGATGGGGACGCTACTGAAGGTGGTAGTGAAGATATTTTATGACTTTTGTTGCATGAGACTCATGCCAAATTCCTTGATGTTTTATGTTATATATATGTGTACTAATCAGGGATTAAGAGTTCTGCTCTGTGGAAAGCCAACTATGTTTAACTTCTCCCAAATTTATTTGAGCCCAAAGCTGCAACCACCACCTTTTTCTGTTCAAACATAAATCCTTTAAAAATGCTAGATGGCTATACTTGTAAAATGCTGGGTAAGTGCATTCTAGATAAATGAGGTTTCTGGCATGTACGTTTCCAGGCAACTAGGTGCTAGGACTTTCGTTTATGAACACAATTCTTGTACTTGAAGGGCTCTCATTTACTAGGAAATAAAGTAAAAGTTGGTTATATGAGGTCACTGAATAACACTTTTAAATTTTCTAGGCTCTCAGGTACTAGGAAATATTGTTGAACTTTGATATATATATTTTACCTATCAACCACTTTAGATTATAATGGCAAAACTGGCAGGTGGACCTAAAGCTCCTAAACCACAAGGAAATTGGGATAAAGATGGTTGGCAAGACGAATCTCATATATAAATAGCAAATCAGGTGCAAAACTGATTGATGACAGTGATGCATGCAGATGTTTCTCACATTCTGCACATTGGGTTGTTGAAATGCATGTCTTAGAAGGCCTCCCGCTAATGAATGCGCATTTTGTTGCTGTTAATGTCCACAAAAACAGAAAGCTCACCTGCTGGATGATAACCAACATTACGCTGGTGTTCTGTATGTGATGTAGTAACAGATTGCTCATTGGTGATGATTGCTTAATAACAAAGCAGGCTCAGAAAAATATTCTTCCTCTTCATTCTAAAGCTTGAGTTTGTAAGTGTAGTCTTGTGAATTTTGTTTTGCAGATCATCATGGCAAAACCAGCAGGTGGGCCCAAGCCTCCAAGTGGAAAGAAAGACTGGGATGATGACCAAAATGACTGAATGGCTTCATTTTTACTGTAGGTGAAGGTTGTATTTGTAGTAGTTCTATAGGAATTGCCTGATGTTTTCATATTCTCCTTAAATTAAGAAGTGTTTTGTGTTTGTATCTTGTATCCTTGAATGGATGATACAATAAACGTTACTATCGAAGCCTCTGTGTCTGAGGACCACTGTTCTTGGATCTGGATGACCTGTTTCGTGTCAACCTTGTTAATGAAAAACCGTGACACTTAAGGAAAGTCACCCAAGTTATTAGGGGTCTGTTTGCAGTATAAATCTGGCCTGCTGTTTGTCTTTGTACATAAGTTTTATTGGAACACAGCTGTGATCAAGTATTTACATACTGTCTATGGCCGCTTTCTACAAGGGAAAGGCAGAGTTGGAGTTATGAAAGAAATGAAGTGGCCTGCAAGGCCTCTGAGACATTTACTAATTATAAGAAGTGCTCTATAGGAAGTCTGTCAATCCCTGGACGCAACTGAAAATATGCCTCTTGACGTATAAATTAAGCAAGTCAATTTTTATCCGTGGAGGTTTGAAAAAAGCAAAGAACACTGTAAAAAGTAAACTTATTTTACAGAACATGTGCTACTATATGTTGGTTATATGAGGTCACTGAATAACACTTATAAATTTTCTAATTTGTTTTTGGCATTTCAAAGGAATTTAGATGCAGTATGGCTGACTGGGCCTTATATAAACTCATCAAAAGAAATTCTAATAGAGAACCTTACAGGAAGTTTAGACAGTTTTGGTATTAAGGCTCTTAGGGTTGTATGTGCCTTGGAAACACTGGCTTGAGTTCAACCAACACCCCAGCATATGCTTACTGCTTGGCATCAGAAGAACTACATGTATGTTACTGCCAAATCAAATATCCTATGGTTATAAAATTAATACTTTTGTTTTAACTAACACACTTGATGTTTTGTTAGCCAGAGTCTGAAACTCTTTTTAATGTTTTCAGTAGTCAGTACAACTACTGATAAAATCTTCTAAGTAATAAAGCAAATTTGGGGGGCAATTAACTTTATTGATGTGTTGCAAACCACCACCCAGACATGTTATTGAGCACTTAAGTAATTCAGAATCCTTTCCAGAAACTGGACGCAGTGATAAAAACCACTGTGACAGTACAAAGCCACTGTGGAATTTTTAGGTATTCTCCCTTCAGTATCTCAGTGAACATGAGTTCTTCCGGCATGTAGTTAAGTGAACATGATTTACAGTTAGTCTTTTTTATTATTATAGCCATTATAAAAGCCATCAACGTTTCCAGAGAAAGCACTTTGAAACTGTTACAGTATTCTCTCATAAAATAGGAGGTAAGCCTGTGAATTCAGTACTTTAGCTGTAGGCACAGCTTGCACGTGCGTGTCGCTGATGTGAAACCACTGCCCTTTGGTTGACTCCATTTCAAAATCTGTCAAAAAGGAAATGTAAAATTAAATGGAAATGTAAAAATTCAAGTTCAACCTTTTTTATTTTCCCCATAAATATCTGCTGAATACTAGAATTCTGTAAAATCTTTTACCTTGTGGAATATCACCGTGGAGAACAAGGTTAGAGAGATGAGTGTTTGCAGTTCTTGTCTTGGCGTAGGCGGTATAATGCCCTGACCTCATGGTACCACTGTGTTCAACAACTCCATATAAGGAATACAGTACCCGTGTATGTTCTTCAGCAACATTCTTTAAAGGTGAACAGAATTCAAAAGTTATTTGTAGGCAAGGTAACTAAACTTACTGTTAAAGGTCTCTAACCTTTGAGAATGCAGAAATCATGAGAACTGGAATTTTCTCCCTTTTCTCAGCCTACTGAGTGGCATCACACTTAAGTGTTTATTAGAAAGCTCCCACTCCTTGTCCTGCTGGAAGAAGCATAAACCAGAGGCCACCTGCTATAATCACTTTCCTGGCCAAACGGGGGTTTAAAAATATATTGAAGTAACAACCGAATGTTGAAGATGACTGATCACAGATCTTGAAATTACAAAGGTACAAAGATCAAAGACTTGGTGTACTCAGCAGCTCTTAACCAATTTCATACTTACGTGAGTTGCTGTTGGGAGTATTTGGTAATAAGCTGATTCCCTCTAAAAGATTTCCCCAAAAAGGCAAGTTTCACCTACCTTACACTTAAGGGTACAAAAAGGAGCCAAATCTAAGATTTCTGGAAATTTTATGTGTTTGTTAACTTTGCGTAGGTTAAAACCAGCCTGAAAAAGAAGGACAGTATTAAGTTCTTTTCGCAGAAAAACTGTACATGGTAAGAAAACTGTCAACCCACCACAATGCCCAGAAGGACAATAACATCCAGCCCCAGTTCAGTTGTCTCAGAAGACTCTAGTCCCCTCACTGCTAACTTCCAGTTGACTGGTTTTTGCCAAGTGCACCCCCTACAAACAGTCCAGACCCACACACAGTCCAGATTGAGAAAGCTGTTCCTGTAAGAACATTGTCAATGTTCTGCTTTAACCATCCAGAAAAATCCCAATTAAACGAGATTCTGAGTGCTTAAAACTCAGCAATAGCAGAATTCTGTGAAGCACACTCTCAGCCTCACTCTAACCAAGCCTGGCAAACTTCATAAAGATGCACCCGATAAGTCAAGCTCACACCAAGCACAGGAGAGAAAATGCTCTGAAAATACTCTGCAAATCTAGAATTGAATTTACAACTGGTACTGCTCGTGGTTAAAAGTCTTTCAGAAAAGATGGAGTCACCAAGAAGATGGAAATCCAAGGTACTAATGCCATATTATTAAGGGTCAGTGAAAATAAGATACCACACACACATTGCTAAATTTCCCAAGTATGAGATATAACTAGTAAAGTGGTCTTTTCTTGTTAAAACCTGAAATTAAGGTTAGAGTAAGATGCTAATATAATAACACAAACAGTATGGACCTAAGAAGCGGAAGATACTAGGAAGAGGTGGCAAAAACACAAAAGAACGATACAAAAAAGATCTTCACAACCCAGATAACCACGATGGTGTGATCACTCACCTAAAGCCAGACATCCTGGAATGCAAAGTCAAGTGGGTCTTAGAAAGCATCACTAGGAGCAAAGCTAGTGGAGGTGATGGAATTCCAGTTGAACTATTTCAAATCCTAAAAGATGATGCTGTGAAAGTGCTGCACTCAGTATGCCAGCAGTGGCGAATTTGGAAAAGTCAGCAGTGGCCACAGGACTGGAAAAGGTCAGTTTCCATTCCAATCCCAAAGAAAGGCAATGCCAAAGAATTCTCAAACTACCGCACAACACTCATCTCACACTAGGAAAGTAGTGCTCAAAATTATCCAAACAAGGCTTCAACAGTACATGAACCAAGAACTTTCAGATGTTCAAGCAGGATTTAGAAAAAACCTGAGGAGAGGAACCTGAGATCAAATTGCCAACATCTGCTGTATCATAGAAAATGCAAGGGAGTTCCAGAAAAACATCTGCTTTATTGACTATGCCAAAGCCTCTGTGTGGATGACAACAAACTGTGGGAAATTCTTCAAGAGATGGGAATGCCAGACCACCTTACCTCTCCTGAGAAATCTGTATGCAGGTCAGGAAGGAACTGGACATGGAACAATGGACTGGTTGAAAACTGGGAAAGGAGTACATCAAGACTGTATACTGTCATCCTGCTTATTTAACTCATATATGCAGAGTATGTCATGTGAAACGCTGGGCTGGATGAAGCACAAGCTGGAATCAAGGTTGCTGGGAGAAATATCAATAACCTCAGATACACAGATGACACCACTCTTATGGCAGAAAGTGAAGAACTAAAGAGCCTCTTGATGAAAGTGAAAGAGAGTGAAAAAGTTGGCTTAAAGTTCAACATTCAGAAAATGAAGATCATGACATCCGGTCCTATCACTTCATGGCAAATAGATGGGGAAACAATGGAAACAGTGGCTGACTTTATTTTTCTGGGCTCCAAAATCATTGCAGATGGTGACTGCAGTCATGAAATTAAAAGACGCTTGCTCCTTGGAAGAAAAGCTATGACCAACCTAGACAGCATATTAAAAAGCAGACACATTACTTTGCCAACAAAGGTCTAGCCAAGGCTATGGTTTTTCCAGTGGTCATGTATTGATGTTGAGAGTTGGACCATAAAGAAAGCTGAGCGCCGAAGAATTGATGCTTTTGAACTGGGGTGTTGGAGAAGAGTCTTGAGAGTCTCTTAGACTCCAAGGAGAACAGTCTTGAATATTCACTGGAGGGACTGATGCTGAAGCTGGAACTCCAACACTTTGTCCACCTGATGCGGAGAGCTGACTCATTTGCAAAGACCCTGATGCTGGGAAAGATTGAAGGGAGGAGAAGGGGACGACAGAGGATGAGATGGTTGGATGGCATCACTGACTCGATGGACATGAGTTTGGGTAAACTCCAGGAGTTGGTGATGGACAAAGAGGCCTGGCATGCTGCAGTCCACGGGGTTGCAAAGAGTTGGACACAACTGAGCAATTGAACTGATATCTAAAAAGAGCAACATGTAAAACTGAGGAGGGACTGTGCCTAAATTTCTCTTCCAACTTGACATTACCTTCATCAAACCCTTTTGTGTTACCCATATGTATACCGTTTTGCTCAGTGGTAAACAATCCATCTGTTAATGTAGGAGACTCAGTTTCAGTCCCTAGGATGGGAAGACCCCCTGGAGGAGGGAATGGCAGCCCACTCCAGTACTCTTGCCAGAATAAGCCCATGGGCAGAGGACCCTGATGCGCTACAGCCTATAGGGTCACAAAAGTCAGACAAGGCTGAGCGACTGAACATGCACACATAGCGCTGCTTTACTTTCCTACATCTTTGAAGTCAGAACTAAGAAACAACAAAAAACCACACACACACTTAACATGTAGACACAATAACAAAGCAGGTGTTACATATCTGAAACAAATTTTTGGTAAGAAAACAAGGGGTACCTGCTGAAATCTCTTGAAATGAAGAGTGAGAACTGGAGGAGCAAGAGAAATTAGCATCTGCTTCTTAGCATTGGTATAAACATGCTTCCTTTCACCTACAGAAAAGACCCAAATGTTAGCAGTGTGAGCATCGTTTTAGATGTCTTCAACATTCACACCTGCTATAAAATCATTTCAACACACCTAAGTCAAAGATTAGTGAGTTTTCTGGAAAGAACCAAATACTATTTTAGGTTTTTGAACCAAGAGGCAAAGATCAAGGATATTTTATATGTATTAATACATGAGGGAAAATTTCCACAAATTTTTACTGATAGAATTCAACCTATTATAATTGAGTACAACTGCAGTCTACTGAAAAGAAGAATAGAATTATTTTTGGAGAGGTAATAATTGGGGTTCAAAGTTAATGTTTTCTACCATAAAATCATTTTCAAATGTTCCATCTATAAGAAATATTTTTAGCTCAAAGATCACAAAAAAACAAGAGGCGGGCCAAGTTTAAAATAGGAAGCACAGTCCACTGACACCAGCACTAAAGCAAACAAATGCTATAAAATCAATTGTGAATAAATAAAAATAACAGAGGAAAAGACTTGTCAAGTGCTCAACAATTCAAGTGAGAACCCTTGGGGATCTGTGGTCCCTCCCTATCCTACTTACCCAATCTATAAAAATAAAAATACAAAGGCGGGGGCTCAGGGTAGGAGAGGCATTATGAACATCTCCGTCTGTATCTGAAGAAGACTGTGAGCAAGCACTGTGCTCCCAGGACCCTGCAGTGGGGCGTCACCACACTGCGGAGTTCCAGTGTGTGTTTCTGGGTGCGGGGGGACGGGGGCATCACGAGTCAGGGCAAACTGAGGACACGAGGAAACAGCCTCTATCTGTAAGGAGCCTGCGGTGACAACCCCTGAGTGGGACGACTTCCCCACAGGCAGTGCTAGCAGACAGCGAGCCGCTGGGACGCCAAGGAAGTCTGCTTACCCGTGCTTCTATTAAAATGTTTATACAGAGAAGGACTTGGTGACTCCATCCAAATCCTGACACAGTTAAAACAGTAACAGTCTACTAGATGCAGTGCAAACTGTTCCCCTGAGCATTACTTTACTTTCTGTGAAAGCATCTAAATACCTTTCATATTTGCCTTTGGTCCACTCAACTGTCTCCGCGTGCACACTTCACAAAGCAGTTTATTAGCATCTCGAAGTTTCTCGTTTCGAGTGAACTGATACAAACAATGTTGGACTGAACACTCGTCAGTGTTGAAAGCCTCCCTATTTGCAAGTGTACAGAAAGCAGTCTCTGGATCTTCGTTTACAACTTCATATACCTTCGTCCTGGAAGTAGGGTCATCATTCAGAATCTCTATATTTATTTCATCAGGTTGCAGAGCAGCATTCAAATTAAGGTTCTCAAAACCACTGGAAATGTCCACTTCTCCATTGCTCCCGTCCTTCAGGTAGGCACCGTTTAAATTCCTAGGACATTCAGTGGCAGACGATGCCAAAACCTCCAGATCATTATCCACACTGATATTTTTCATATCGGCTTCCTCTGTGGATTTTTGATTGTCAGTTATACTTTCTATCATTTTTTCATGGCCATTCAAATCTTTCTGATTAACACAATATTCTTTAGGTGCAACTTCCTCTTGAGAGAGATGCTTGGATTTAATATCTGCTTCTCCCTGAAGTGACATTTCAACTTCACATTCATTATCTTCAGGATGGTCAATGGCATAGACATCATTTAAATGAAGAACTTTCCCTTGAATTTTCTGTTGTCTTCGTTGGTTCTGTGTAAAAAATACAAAACATTAAAAAAGAGAGAGAGGGAGAGAAAAAGCATACATGTACCACATTAGGTTTTCTTATTTATCAATCAAAAATAAATAGTAAGGAAGAGTTTACTCCCAGAAAAGTTCCTTTACTGTCAGAGATTAAATAATTATAAAGAAAATTTCTTTGAAAGGAGGGGGTAAATCATTACCAGTATTCAAAAAACTGTCACACAGGGGCAAATAAAAATGGTCATGATTTAGACAGAGCAGTCTAGATCTAGACAGAGCTGCAAGGCTGCTGAACCCAAGCAGCCATGTGTGAAGGCGGGGGGCAAGTGATGACACATACATCAGGAAGGGATGTATCCATGTGAGTTATAATTACATGATCAAGGCTTCACTTAAGAGATAAAAAAACAAACCAAAAACTCAAGGACAGGCAGAGGGATGGAGCATAAAATTCCAGGAAACAAACGGCCCCAAGTTAGAGAAGCAAGGAAACCAAATGTACAGAGGACGTTTAAATCACTACCCACTTAAACCACCTTTGCTATTTGCTGCCTATGTCCCAGCGTGGGGGTGTGGCGTTGGCTCAGGGAGGCTTCACTCAGATTACTGTTACTGGAATGGCTGAAGACTCAAAGGGTTAGCATTTGAGCTGTCACTGAAAGGACAGTCCCATGAGGCTAATTTGTAATACCAGAAAGCTAAAGGGCCACATACAGGGTCCTGGACACAAACATTTTCTGAGATGCCTCAGTTAACATTAGTTACACATCAAAGAAAAGTGAAGAAAGGAGATGAGTGAATACTTCAAAGGAATGGAAACATAAACGGCTCTTAAAACATAAAAACATGCTTGACTTCATTTTCATATGTTGCTGGTGGGAACATAAGTTGGTACAGCTTTTGTGGAGGGCAATTATTTTAGCAAAACTACAATCCCTCTTCTCAAAATATACCCTACAGATGACATGTATAGGGTTATTCACAGCAGCACTGGCCATTACAGCAAAGGAGTATAGCTGTTTGTACATCTAAGTCAATCAAGAAATGGTTGGATGAACTATAGTACATCTTTTAAACTATATTTTGTAGAAGGCTGAGTGCTGAAGAATTGATGCTTTTGAACTGTGGTGTTGGAGAAGACTCTTGAGTGTCCCTTGGACTGCAAGGAGATCAAACCAGTCAATCCTAAAGGAAATCAACCCTGAATATTCATTGAAAGGACTGATGCTGACGCTAAAGCTCCAATACTTTGGCCACCTGATTCGAACAGCCAATTCACTGGAAAAGACCCTGATGTGGGGAAAAATTGAAGGCGGGAGGATAAGGGGATGACAGAGGATGAGATGGCTGGATGGCATCACTGATTCAATGGACATGAGTTTGAGTAAACTCCAGGAGACAGTGAAGGACAGGGAAGCCTGGCATGCTGCAGTCCACGGGGTCGCAAAGATCTGGACACAACTGAGCGACTGAACAACGTTTACTACTAAAACAGAATTCTGAATGACTTTTTTAAAAAGAAATTTATTGGAGTATAGTAGCTTTATGATGTTGGTTAGTTTTAATTGTAGAGCAAAGTAAATCAGCTGTACATATGTCCTCTCTTTCCTGGATTTCCTTCCTATTTAGGTCACCACAGAACATCAAGTAGAGTTTCTTTATATGATTGTTTAAAAAAAGAATCTTTGTGTCCTACAACATGAAGAAACAGAGAGATCTGCACGCATCTAATTAAGCAGAAGAAAATAAGGACTGGAACAGTGTGCATAATTTTTAAAAGCAGGGAAACACAAGACCACATATTTGTACTTGATTATATTTTCCCAAAAAATCTCCAGCACATATAAGAAACTAATGAGAGTAGTATTATATCATACAAGGAGGGAGACTTTTATTGTACACCTTTATATATTTTTAAATGTTAGTGTATTAGAAACTGAAAAAATTCTTGAAAATAAAATATTTTTTAAGTCATGACAAGTAATGCAGTTTCTTTTTTTTTAAGCACAACATTTTCTTCACATATTCTCAAAGAAATTTTGCTGCAGAGAATATGACATGAGCTAATTCTATAACTGCCAAATCGAGTAAAAGTGAAAGTCACGTTGTGTCCGACTGTTTGTGACCCCATAGACTGCAGCCCACCAGGCTCCTCAGGTCCGTGGGATTCTCCAGGCCAGAATACTGGCGTGGGTTGCCCTGCCCTCCTCCAGGGGATCTTCCCGACCCAGGTCTCCCGAATCGCAGGCAGATTCGTTACCGTCTGAGCCACCAGGAAGCCCGTCAAATTAAAGTGCTGTACATAAACTAACAGACATGCCCTCCAGTGCCATCCAGACTCAAACTCAAGGGTCTCAACGCTAAAACTAGGCAAGTAGGTATTCCTCCTAAGTACCCACCTTGGCTTGCTTCTTGGCTTGTTTCTTTGCTTTTTTCTGTAAGTGCTTGCTTGTTCCTGAAGGAATATCGTTTCTCTCCTTTAAGTAACTGTCATTATCTTTTTCTTCCTCACTATCTTTATCTTCATCTTCCATTGTCTTTTTCAGATTTTTATCATTCATACTTTTCTTACCACTCTTAAAATATGGAGAGAATATGGACCAAAAATAAAACTTTACTACTGCTTGTAGAGAAATTTCCTGTTACCTAAACAGTTTTCTATTCCTAATTTACACCAGATTTATTTTTCAAACTGTTTGGAAACATATCCAGGACATAATTAATTCATCTGAGACACTAGAAAACAATCTTCACATACTGAGAAAACAAGCAAACAAACAAAACAGTAAAAAAAGGCAATTTAACATCTGAGTGTAACAGAAAGGAATATAGCGAGTTGTAATAGATACATGCTGTACCAAGCTGTAATTATGTTTATTTCTAAATGCACTTTTTGTTGATAAGTGATTTACATGTCCCACTACAGGTATTCTTTTTTATTATTTTCTTCTCATGCAAGTGACAGTTTTAAAGGGAAGAAAAAATAAACTATGTTTGGCAAGACTTTAATCACTTAGTAACACTGATTTAAAGGGACCCCCCCAATTCATATTAAGTTGAATAATGATTTATCCAATACTCATAATGTTATATTTTTCCTACTATTACTTGATAAGAACTAAGTTTACATGGCTTACTCTCTGTTAATATTTATGAACTTAAACTTTAAGGGATTTGCGGTTAGTCTTAAATAATAAAAATAATAATGACTTACATGAATAAAGTAAATACTTTCCTATATGTAAACTAACCAAGTTAGTCATCCATAAACAATTCAAGACATAGTCTTTAAAATACATACATATACACACACATAAAAATATACATATACATGAATACTTATATTTATTCATTCTCTTTTCAAATCTTTAAAACTCTTCCATCTCACACATATTAAGAAAACTTTCTCCATGCAAGGCTTGGTAAAGTACAAACTTGGAAACGGTAACAAGCCCTCCCTCACAAAATTGAGCACAGGAAAGAAGAAAATCTACTTAAAACAAACTCAATAATCTTACCTGATCATCTAAAACCGGTAGAGACAAATCAAGGAAAGATTCATGAACCAAGGAGACCTTAACCAACCAAAAAAGAAGATGAAAAAAGGAGGAAAAGATTCACTTTAAACATCATACAGTAAAATCCTGGGGAGGAGGGCTAAATTTTAAAATAAAGGCTTAAGAAAATGAAAAACTACACAGTGTTGAGGACTTTGGGTTAGGTATAAGAAATTAAAATATTACACTAACTTCTTCCTAAGGAATGTTCACAGTTCTGGCAAAAAACTATGTATACTTAGTTCAAAAAAGTATCTTATAAAACTGACCAGATGTTCCTGTTTCCAAAAGGAACAACTCAAACTGTCCTCTATTAATATGCATAAATGCAGTCTGCACTGCATCTACTTACAGTTCTGCATTCATCACACATAATTGTACTAGTCAGCTCACCACCAAATATTCGGTCCACAAAACTTGGTACTGATTTTTTCTTTTCATACTCTACAAGGGGAAAAAAGGCTATCAATTACCTGTACCCAATTAATGAAGTTGAAACTACTTACTTACCTATCTAACCCTGAAATTTTATTTGTAATTTCCTATTGTTTTTCTCTACTCATAATTACCATAATTTTTATACTACAGTCAGCAGCATGTACTCCAGCATTCTAAGCAGGATACAATTTAACACAATCATATCTCAGAGCAAAAAAAAAATTCTGCTCTAGGGTCTAGTCAGTGCAAAATGAATTGTGCAAGTCAGCGAGACTTTCTGTGCATCAATATTTTAACTATCAATAGTAAAATGAACAGACTGGGCTACGCAGGATCATGATTGAGCTCACTTCTAGCTCTGGCACTGTAACACTAGCAGCAAATTTGATAGTAACTTGCTTTGTGAACTCCATTCAAAATCAAAACAAAAACAAAAAGCCCTTAGGAAAGTATTTCAGACAAAATCCTCCTTTTCTCTATGTCCCCAGAAACAACCTTGGTAAGCTTAGCATAAGGTGACGTAATTTCACTACCTAGTCACCCCATTTTCTAACTGCATGAAATGTGTAAGCCTTGTTTAAACGACAGGTGCCATTTATACAGAAACACATTTTATGACAGACAGCTGAGCAGGCTAGCGTCTCCCCTTTAACAGCCAGGCCAGCACCCAGGGAACTGAGGAGGCAGTTGCTCTGTGTAGATTCCAAGCTGTGCTTCACAGTTCAGTAGTTTAGTCACTGGGACCAGTTACACTGGTTAAAATCTAACGAAAATAAAAATTTAGCTCCTTTTGCACCAGTCACATTTCAAGGGCTCAACTGCCACATATGTCTACCGTATCAGACAGCAGAAATACTGAAGTGATCCATCATCACAGATGGTTCTACTCAACAAACCTTTCCTAAATCATTAAATGCTACACAATAAGAATAAAGTCAGCTCCGTGATTAATAAACCAGCTGACAACTCGAAAAGACAAGTGTACATCACTAATATTTGAAGTCTAAGCTTTGAGGCAATTCTCTGGCGGTCCAGTGGTTAGGACTTGATCTCCAGGCTTTCACTGCTGAGGCCTGGGTTCAGTCTCCGGTCAGAGAACTAAGACCCCAGGAGCCACGTGGTGGAAACAAAAAAATAAAGTCTAAGCCTTTGAAAAATAAAATTGGGATGTCATCTTAGCTCTGTTTATAAATTTTACCATAATACTACATAGAAAGAATACACCAAAGTTAAATTTTTCTAAAGTATTTTCCTTTGGAGTACTGAATAATTTTTTTAAGTCAACAGAGATAAAGAGAAATCATACACTCATAACTGTGGATTTGAAATACATGTGCCAGCAATCCTGTTTTAATGTATAGAGGACTTCAACTATACTGTTTTAGTTCAAAAAGTCAGACATTACCTTTAACTTTATTTTTCAGTTCTTCATCCACTTTTTCAGTAGAATTACCAAATGCTTTAAGAATTCCTTTACTCACTCTCTAAAAGGAATAAAATAGATATATGTACTATTAAATTTAGCTATTTTCCTTATAAAGTATGTAATCAAGTAAAGAAAATGATTAAGAATTAGCACCCCAAACTTACCAAATAAAAATTAATATTTTTAAAATCACATTTTCAAAATTAATTCCAGGAGCTAAAAAGAAATATGTTTTAAAAAAACAATAACTAACCCCTGAGCAAAGGCACTGTATTATCATTTCAAGATTTTAACCTACTCTAACCAAAGTTGTTCAGAGCATCCCACAGCCTTTGAGAAGACCACTGAAATATCATGTACTAGAAGCAGAGTGCGTGTGTGCTCGGTTGCTATGCCGTGTCCGACTCTTTGTGAGCCCATAGATTATAGACTGCCAGACCCCTCTGTCCATGGGATTTCCCATGACAGAATACTTGCACAAAATTCCCGTGCAAAATCTTGCCATTTCCTCCTCCAGGGGATTTCCAGGCCCAGGGATCAAACCTGCATCTCTGGCCTCTCCTGCACTGGCTGGCGGGTTCTGAGCCACCTGAAGTCCCTGAGGCAGAGAACTACAGGGACAGAGTCCAGGGCTCAAAGCCCAGCTCCACCAGCACTGGGTGACCCTGCACCCAGCAGTGACCTTCTGGATGCCCTAGCTTCATCATCGATGGAGTGAGAAAAACGACAGCCGCGTGCACCGCACAGAAGGGCTGTGAGGACTGAGTAAGGGGAGTCACAGAATACCGAGAACAGGGCAAAAAATAAGGGCAGAGGACTGTCGCTACCACTCTGTTATTACTATTACCAATTACACCCCCACACGCCCTCCCCAAACTCACTTTACGTCCTGGCAAAATTAAAGTATGTAAAGTAATTACAAAATTACATACTTACAGTAACAAAAATTCTATAATGCAACAAATGCTCCTTGACTCTTACAAAATAAAAATACTCCCCAGATTAAAAACAGTGTTAAATCACACTCAGAGTAAGAGTAAGGCTGCACTGCAACTGGGAATCGTCTGGGGAGGAATATTCTTCATACCTGCATCTCTCCTGACATAGGCTACAACGTCAACCCTTAGAGAACAATAATGATACAAACAGCGAGCAAAATAAAGAATCATGAAATGAATAATTTCTAATTCCCTTCATTAATTTAATAATTTAAATACACTAGCCAAGAAAAAGAGAAGAAGAAAAATAAATAAATAAAAAGAAAATACACTTGTTGAAAAGGCCGGTGAAGAAAACAAAAGTTAATATTATGGCCTCAACAACTAGTTTTCATTGTCTAATAACCCTTAAGACATCAAATGACAGACAAGTTAATGAAGAGGAGATTACAAAAGACATTGGGCAAAATATGCTAACCTGATGTTCTTCCGCTCTCATTCCATCCAATAGATAGCGAAGCAGCTCCTGACTGTCCTGTTGCTGATAGCCTTTAAATCGCACTGCTCTACAGGGAAAAAAAGAAAAACTATGGTGAGTCCACTAAAATGAAACTATTTTTTATTAAATCTTAGGATCATATCCCAAATTTTGGTGGGTTCCAGTTTCTCAAAATTTTTGTTTAGTCCAACAACACTCTTGGCAGATTTAATTTTCACACAAAGTACATGTTTTTTAAACCATGCTTTAATATTATCTATTGAATTAACTCTAATCCTATTAATTTTTTCATATTATTTCCTAGCTTCTTACTGATGCACTGAAAGCACAATCAAAACAGATACTCACTTTTTACAGACCTGAGAAAAGAGTTCTCTAGGTGTCACGATTCCCTTTTTGGTCTCTTGCATCTCGTTAAGAAACTGGCTCATGGCTAACGTAAGAGGGCCTGGAGGCTCAAGATTTATTTCTAAGGGTTCCTGAATATGAGAATAAAAATTACTTTCTTCAGTCAAATTTTAGAGTTATTTTATCAAAATGTAACTTGTCAACCTATATTCCTATGTTCCTGATAGAGCTGTTCCAATTAAAAGTTCAAAATGTACATCAAAAGATGGAGAAAGTTTTTAGTCCTAAACTATTTTGATAAAGAATTCAGTTCTACTGTTTTATCTTATCAGGAACTTATTACCTAGGAACTGAAAGAGCTACATCAAGATGTAAATAATAAAAATGGAGAGGGTAAAACTCATTTCGCTACACAGCATTTCAGTCACTTTAAAAGATGTTAAAAATGATAATGCATGCTCAGAGCTTCATAAGCAGCATTCCCCAGGAGGAGGCCAAACACTCAGCACAGCAGAAGGGCTTACAGGAGCAAACACATGTAAAGGCCCCTCAGAAATATCCATTAGCCTGAAAATTTACCTGGGTAGCTTAAAACAAACAAAAGAGGTGAAAACGAGCACCAGTTTTTAAAAATAATTTAAAATGCTGCTACTCAGAGAGGAAAAGAAAAAAAGAAAATTTTAAAGTACATACTGTTAGTGCCAAATCAGGTGGTTCAATTTTTACAATTGTTCCAGACATTTTTACTTCTTTCAGTAGTTCTCTAAGCACTGGTGTTTGTGACAAATTCTGGAATGCAGGATGGAAAAGAAAGGAAAAATTATTTACAGGCAAACCAATTCAGTCAAGTACCTTAAGTGTCTGGTCTTCCAAAACAGAAAAACACCATCAACACTGCAACTTTTCTTGTGTCTGTTACACACGAAGTAACATCGTGTTCTTCCCCCCACTCTTACTGGTTCATAAATACTTCAGTTCTGAGTTCACTCATCCCTCAGAAGGTCTTTCTCCCAACCACCTGCTATGAAGTAGCTACCCTACCCCCCCCACCACCAGGTGCAACTAGGAATTTACTTCTGTACTTGGCTCCCTTGTGTTTCTAACATCCAAGGACAGTTCTGAGGGCACGGGCCATGGCTGCCTTGAACCCTTTTGCACGCCAGGGCTTAGCACAGTGTTTTACTGTCATGCAAAGGAAACATGCCCTTGAATTTTCTTTGAAAACACAGGAAGAAACTACGTGTGAGGGAAAAGCTCAATATCATGAGTAGCAAATATGCAAAAACATCCTAGCGTTATGAGGAAAATACTAAGATCTTTTTAAAGGGGGAAAATATTAACATTGGCACCTGCATAACTGCATTGAAGAAACATGTATTTCCCAAATTACTGAGTCCTTTCACAGTTATTTGAGAAGTCGAATTCATGGAAGGATTTTCTCTCGCCATGTTTTCCTTTTTTTCTCTCTCTTGCTCATTTTTACTCTCCTTTTCTAGCTTTTTATTTTCAAGTTCAATATTACCATTATCTTTTGCTGCTTAAAAAAAAAGAAGAAAAAGAGATGATTTAGCAAAACTTGTAAGACACACATACCAAATACAAAGATATACTTGGGATTAGAATTTGTGAATTTTACCTAATAACATGATTTACCACCTGTTTGATTTTAAATGTTTTATTACAAATAAATTACCATCAAGAGAGAAAAACCAATAAACCAAAAATATTCAGAAATGACATAGGCAAACCAAACAGTATTCAGTATAAATCCCCTTTTTATTAAACAAATGTGTTTTACAAATGAGCAATCTTACCCTGTGAAATCAGAGTATAAAGCAATCAAGCAAGCAACAAGGACATGAAGTAAATTTTTAAATGAAGTCTGCGAGTGAAAATTAACCCTGGAGACTTCCATGGTGGTTCGGTGGGTAGTTAAGCGTCTGCACTCCCAATGCAGGGGCCTGGGTTTAATCCCTGGTCAGGAAACTATATCCCACATGCTAGAACTAAAACTTCCAGCATAGTGCAACCAAGATCAAAGATGCCATATATCACAACTAAGACCCGGTGCAGTCAATTAAATTAATTAATTAAAAAAAAGAAACAGAAAAAACTAACCCTGAAGTTAGGAACAATCTGGATCCACAAAAGATACCTCTGTGACTGTAAAAATCTAAAGAAGCTTTTAAAGCAGTTGATGAACATCAACCCTATTAACCTAATAATGAATGAAAAAAACCTGAGAAGCATCTGGCCTTTTGAAGGAATTATAGGCACCTTAATTTCACATCATCCAAACAATGTAGCAGTTCAGTTCAGCTCAGTTGCTCAGTTGGGTCCCACTCTGCGACCCCATGGACTGCAGCATGCCAGGCCTCCCTGTCCATCACCAACTTTCACATCATCCAAACAATATAGCAAGATAAATCCATTATAAGGCAGGTTTGCTTTAAGCCCTGTGCCAGGGTATGGGAGTGTGGAGTTACTGCTCATCACTAACCCAGACTCTTCATCATATATGACTATATTGTTTCTCAGATTTCCTTCTAACTCCTTATAATTATCTATGTTCTTACTGTTTTACATTCTTAACCAAAGATAGTTTCATAGTTTGAAATCAAACACTAATAATGTTATTCAGCTACGTACAATGATACAGTATGTTAAACTAAATATCCACTATAATATATATTAACATTACAGTATATATTAAGAAACAAATGATTTTACCTGATTTTGGAGTATTACCAGCCTGTTTTCTAACATAATCAACCACCTGACCCAATCGGTTTGAATTACAATACTGGACTTCATCATCACATAGGTAACACCTGTGTCCCAAAAGATCCCAGAAAAGAAGAGTGACAACCTGACCACCACAAAAGGAGACTGATTTTCATTCAGGGGACCCCAAGTGTGTAAGCCTCAAACTATGCCAGGAAAGAAACTGAAAATAAAAATGCTGTGTCTTCTTGAAGAAGACTATACATATTAACTCTGCTGTACTATTAAAGTTAGCCCGAATTACAGCTACATATAAATACTGTGAAAATACTCCAAATATGTTACTGAAATGATTGTTTATAACGTGAAAGTTTTTTTTAATCATATGTTAAATTACAGACCTATATTATCAAAATTAACAAATTTTACAACTGACAAATGATGTTCAGTGAATGGGCTTCCCAGGTGGCGCTAGTGGTAAAGAACCTGCCTGCCAATGCAAGAGACATGAGAGACATTTGATCCCTGGATCAGGATGATCTCCTGGAGGAGGGCAAGGCAACCCAGTCCAGTATTCTTGCTTGGAGAATCCCATGGACAGAAGAGCCTGGTGGGCTACAGTCCATGGGGGTCACAAAGAGTCGGACATGACTGAAGTGACAGCACATTGGCACATTCAGTGAACAGTGCTATGTAAATGGTTTTTAAAGATGTAAAATTTTAATGATGTTAAAAGACAAAAAATACCGGCCTAACATTTTCATGCAAATTCACTGCCAAAATTTATTATCTCAGTGTATCTGGAATTTGTTAGTGTCCCAATTCTATCATATGCTTTGTAGTATCATGAGAGAAATACAAAGGGTAAAAACTCCTGTCTTCTACATGCTATAATTGTGTTTGTACAATACTAAGCAAACGCTTCTCGTACCACCACATTCTCTAGCCTTCTGAAAGTGACGCGTGCGTGTGAGCTCAGTAGCTCAGCTGCGTCGCTCTCTGTGCCCCCGTGGCCTGTAGCCCGCCAGGCTCCTCTGTCCATGGGATTTTCCAGGCCAGCATGCTGGAATGGGTTGCCAACTCCTCCTCCAGGGGATTTTCCCAACCCAAGGATCGAACCCAAGTCTCCTGCGTCCCCTGGGTTGCAGGCGGATTCTTTACCACTGAGTCAATGGGGAATCCTGAAAGTGATGGTATGTAAACAAATACTAAAAAAATTTAAACTTTCTTGCTCTTTGAAACAGTTCAAACACCTCCATTCCCCAACATTTCAAATAATTTCCAGCAAATGGGCACAGGAGTAGAAACTCACCATACACTCCAGTTGTCCAAACTAAGAACCAGGCAATGAGGTTCAGATCGTGGTGTCAGGTAGTGCTTCAAAGCATGTTGCTCCTGAGAATTTCTGCCACAGCCCTAGAAAATCATAATCATAAAACTCAAAGCCACAAAAATTCACCAGGAGAGAATTCACGATCTACAATGAATAAGGAAGTGGATCAAGAAATCTTGCCATTCTTACAATTTTAAAGTTAAAACTTTAGACTCTAGCAGAGTCCAGATTCTGTGAGAACTTAAATACGAAGAGGCACCTGAGGACACTCACAGAAGAAGGTACTTAGAAAACCACATGCTAGAAGTACTCTTCTGCACCAGCCTGTCCTTTCCAGTCCTAACCAAACCATGCCAATGCAGTCACTCACTAGTTCTAATTTAGACTCCTTAACATCTTCCTAAATATTTTCCTAACTACAACCTTTCTTCACATACCTATTTGTTCAGTTTAATATTCCTAAAATAAAGCTCTGTTCATATACTCAATTCAAAAGAAATGAATTGCTCTCAGCAAACCTACTCAACAAACCTGATACCTTCAGACCCCGATCCACCTTTCCAGGATTAGCGCCCATATTCTCCTATTTGAGTAGCATCTACCAGCTAAAACCACCTCGCTCCCACAATACTGTTTTGTTCACATTATTCCATCTGTCTTGAATTCTTTACCGTTACTGCCACGGATCAAACCCCACTTGGTCTCCAGGATCTTGCTCAGAGGCCACTTCCTCTTAGAAGCCTATGCCCAGCTTCCCAGATGAGAAAACACTGCTCCCCCCATAGACAAACTGCCACAAAACATGGTGTACATTCCTGAGGGCATGCCTTATTTTCTACCTTAGAGTAAAGCTGTTAATGTTGCTATCCCTTCTTCCCTTTCACACCTTCTGCAGGAGTGTAAATCCTGAAGGCATGAAAAACAGAATTAATCTATTACCAAAGACTCGAAAAGTGAGGGAGGTCAATAAGCATTAATTGAACAAGTAAGTGGGAGACTCCCACCTACATCTGCATAGGTGTATTCACAAAAGAACATGACCAGATTGTTCACCTCCAGCTGATTAGCCACAGCTAAGAAGCACATCTTCACTGTGTATCTATCTGAACCAGGCCTTCAACTCTCTCCAAGGACACTGCAGTAAGTGGCCCTGTCTCTACTGCAGCTACAAAAAACATTACTTTGGGGGTGAAATATCCATCAATGGCTTCTAACCCTTTAACTATGATATCAAACCTACTGATTGAATTTATCCCATTCAACATTCAGTTCTAAAATAAATGAACTGCAATTTGGTATTGATTTTGAAAACTCTAACACCAACTGAGGCTATCTGAAACAAACATGAGATATCTTAATAACTGAGAATCCTGTGCTAACAGTGTAAAACCTACCTACTGGGATGAAAGTTAACAGTCAATACTGATACTGTCTTACCCCAAGGAACTAAAAAACTAGCAAAATAAATAAAATTTATAATAGGAAATGCATTATGGAAAATTTATAGTAGTAAAATATATTCATGCTCATCATATGTATCTAACAGGTTAAATGACAACTTTTCAAATACATATAAATAAAAATGCTAACATAAAACTTTGTAACTGTCTGGCTACAGTGAGATATTACCTGTCAGAATGATTAAAATAAAAAACTGTGACAATACTAAATGCTGGCAAGGATGAAGAGAGTGGATCACTCAAACACTACTGGGAGGAATATAAAATAGAACAGCAATTCTGGAAAAGCTTGGGAGTATCTTAAAAGCTAAACAATTCATTATTACCCAGCAATTGCACTCTTGGACATTTTTCCCAGAGAAATGAAATCTTAAACTAAATTCACACAAAAATGTGTACACAAATGTTCATAGCAGCTTTACTCATGATCACCAAAAAATGAGATCAGCCCAGATGTTCTTCAACAGGTGAACAAACTGTAGTACACCCCTACCATGGAATACCACTTAGCAATAAAAAAGAAGAAACCACTGAGACACAGGACTTGGGAAAACTTTCAGAGTGTAAGTAAAAAAAGTCAGTCCCAAAACATTGTGTATTACATGATTCCACTTACACAACATGTTTGAAATGACAAAATTTTAGAAATAGGGAATAGACTAGAGGTTGTGAGGGGCTGGGAGGAAGGATGGCAGTCCAGAGGTGGGTATGATTTTTAAAAGGCAACTTAAGAGCTCCCTGTGATGTTGGAACTTTTCAATACCTTGACTGTGGTGATGGATATAAATCTACACAGGTGCCAAACTGAACAGCACTTAATACATACACAACACACATATACCCCCATACAAACTAAGAGAAGTAACTCTGGGAGACCTGATTAAGACTGCTGGATTGTATTAATGTTAATATCCCAGTTGTGCTATTACACTGTAGTTTTAGATGTTACCACCGCTCAGTAGTTGCCTAACAGATAAACTTACCATCACCAAGGTTGATTAAGAGGCCCTCCTGACCTTTAGTACCAATGATACCTGTGAGCCATTCTGCCACCCAGATACCATCAGACCCCAGGTATTCATTCCCCAGAGGCCAGAAATGTGGCCTGGGGGCAGGTCACAGCTCAGTCTGTCCATCCCAAGAATTATCCTCCATGGAAGGAAGCTGCCTTCCTTACCATCAGTTCCATTCCCCAGAAGCAACCAACATCCGATAAATGGTCTAGGCACAAGGACAGAGGCCTGGCCCCGTGCCTCAGTTCAGGACCTCTCTGAAGACCAGACTTCACTGTGGGTTCAGCTGAGGCCCTGGAGCATGCCTCTGCCTAAGCTTGCTTCTCTCCCTGGTCTCCTAGCACAGGACCCGAGAATACGTCCCAGTAAACCCCTACACACAAATCTGTCTCAGAACCTGTTCCCCAGGGAACACGAACTACGCCAACACACATTCTGGTCACCCATACCGAGCTTTTAGGTAATATCTTCTAAAATAAGTTCAAAGAGTTTAGCACAATCCCAAATCGATCAGAATCTAAGCATACCTGATGGCCACATTTAAGACACAGCCAAACTGAAGGATTTTCTTCTGTTTCTTCTTCAGGTTTATCTTTTACTTTATTGTCCGTCTTACAATCTTGGCAAATATTCCATTCCACATTCACTAAAGCTCTTTTCAAATTACCTTGTTCCAATCCTTTTCTAATGTGTCTGCACACAGGTTCTATTAAAACAAATAATAAATATGAGGTAGAATATGACTTTCTTCAGTTAATCTCAAAACATACACATGAAAAAAAAAATGTACACATGATTTGAACTCCAAAAATGAATTTACTCTATAAACTGTTAGATAACCTAAAAACTTAAATTTTTGTCTGATATTTGATCATGAGATGATTATGTAAGAAAGATCTTAAGCTTTCGAGTCCTAGGTATAACCACCACCACCCTAAATTTACTTCAATTTATTAATTGTATCTATTATCCTCTTTATTTTAAAAGACTGCAGAGAAAGTCCCTCATTCAGTCAACAATACAACTACTGCATGTCTGGCACTGTAATAGACAACACAACCAAAAAAGTGACCAACTCACAGCTCTTTCTTTGAGCAGCTCACATTCTTGCAGGAGAAGCAAATTAGTGAATGCACAAGAGTCTCTAGACATGCTTTATACATATGCGTGGGTGCTTAGTCGCTCAGTCATGTCCAACTCTTTGCGACCCCATGAACTGTAGTCTGCCAGGCTCCTCTGTCCATGGGATTCTCCAGGCAAGAATACTGGAGTGGGTTGCCATTTCCTTCTCCAGGGGATCTTCTTGACCCAGGGACTGAACACCCACCTCCTATGTCTCCTGCATTGGCAGGCGAATTCTTTACCACTGCACCACCTAGGGAGCAGTGCTATAGACATACTATAGCAGCACAAGAAGAGAAGGCTAAAGTCAACGGAAGTTTCACAGAAGAGGTGATGTCTGTACAATCTTGGGAGATACGTATAATCATAAAAACTTCTCATACCGATTAAGCACTTACTATGAGCATGAAACTGTGCTGTTTACACACATTATCTCATTTAATCTATACAATCACCATGAAAAGCAGGCTGTACTACCCCCAATGATAGATGACAAACCTCAAAGTTAGTGCCCAAGGTCACATAACTACTAGTGGCTACACTAGAATCTAGATTTAAGTCTTAATTTCAAGCTCATAGTTTAAACTATGACCTCATGGAGTAAACAATCTGAAAAGGCCTTGTGCTTAGTTGCTCAGTTGGGTCTGACTCTTTGCAACCCCATCGATGGTAGCCCATTAGGCTCCTCTGTCCATGGGATTCTCCAGGCAAGAATACTGGAGGGTGTTACCATTTCCTCTTCCAGGGCATCTTCCTGACCCAGAAAAGGCCACATCCCATTAACAAAGGGATGAAGATATAAAATGTAAAAGTGCATGCTGTCTTCTCAGAATGGCAGTACACGTGAAATAATGAGCAGCAGGACCTGAGACTGAAAACCCCACTGGGGCCAGATCTGTAACAGGCTATGCAAGCCACTCTAAAGGGCTTCAGTTCTTTCAGGGCTCTTGGAGGTTTAGAAACTCATCAAGTGGTACAATTAGCCTGATGTCCAATGAATATGTACCAAGAGAATACAAATGCAAATGAGATCGTGTGAAAAACTATGAAAGCGCAGTAAGTTGTCAAAAACAACACAAACTGAAAAAAGAAAATATTCTTTTTCAACTAGCAAATCAAAGATTTTTACAAACGATACCAAGCTGTGTCAATAAAGGTTCAGAGAAATGTGCACGCTGTTATGCTGCTAGGGGCCTCTACGTTAGTTATACATCTCCGAATGGCAAGAGATCCAAAAGAATCTTGAAAACATTTACATCACTTAATTCAGTGATTCTAATTCTAGGGTCTGTACCAAGAAGATAACCAGATGTACACAGTTTGAGCTACAAAAATGTTTACTATCACTCTATTCATAACACTGCAAAGTTGAAGATTACCTACATTTATAACAGTGGAGGATTACCTAAATAAATCATGAAAAATACACACCCATGGTCTTTATATCAATGGAATAAATATCACGCCATTAAAAATGTTGTGCAGACTATTAAATTACATGTCTATACAAACATTAAGTTAAAATGCAAATTACAGAATAATGTAATCAAAACACTTTGATCCCATTTTTACGTATTAAAATAGATGTCCATTTAGGGATACAAACATTACTTTAAAGATTTAATTGGTGAAATATACCTAAAGATTCAGAAGAATCATCAATTGGAACAGTTTTTCCCTTTGTCCGTTTCTTTCCCATGTTGGCACTTTAGGGATTACTTACTGACACAAAATAACAATCTAGAAAACAAGATAAAGTTAGCTTGACCAAAAAAAAAGTTTTACAGTTCTCTAGGATACAGTAACGTAACTAAACCACATCATTTTGTGTATCTATCATACTTTATAAGTTACAAAGACCATTCACATGTATCATTCAGTTTTCAATAAGAACCCCCAAAGTAGAGTATCACCTCTGTTTTTCATAGCTTAGGAAACTGATTCTTAGTAATGTTAACAGGTGTTCAATAAATGTAAAGGTCTGGAGAGAATTTGTATCTTCTTACACAGATCTTGAAGTTTTAACACTTTACACTATTAGGAACTCAACTTCTCACTACATAAATATGGAATGGTGGTAGCACTCTGAAACTTTAATTTCCCTCTCTTCAAAGCCATCTTTATTAGTTCTTGCAGGCAATGCAATTAGATTTATAATTTCTCAAAGAAAATGAAAATAATTCTGAAAACAATCTCCTAGAGGGAGTTAGAAAATTTGCAAAATAGTTTCAAAGCCAAATATATAGTGTGATACACTGTTCTGCATCTTTCCACACCAGAACTTTCTATGGATGTTAACTGAAAACTGACTACATCCGTATTCTCGACCATTTACATTATTATATTCTTGACAAAATCAGTTTGAAATAATATGACAAATCTGAAGTGAAGTGAAGTCGCTCAGTCATGTCCAACTCTTTGCGACCCCATGGAGGTAGCCTGCCAGGCTCCTTCATCCATGGGATTTTTCTAGGCAAGAATGACAAATCTAGCTCATATCAAATCACCTCTTCAATCAACAATTAAAAATTAGAAAACATGAAAAATACTTAAAGTACATACAGATCTACCTAATAATGATGTTTAAAAGTTATAGTTTACATACATTAGAATAACTTAGTGTCAAAATCACTTAAATGACTATAATAATTATTCTACCTGGGATGCTTATGAAAATTCTGATTGCATAAGTGGAAAGTAGGACGTGGGACATATATTTTTAAAACACTTCCCAATTAATTCTGAAAGGTAGCTGTCATCTTGCTCTGGCTTAAAGTCTTAAAAATATTCCTCCTTTAGTTCTTAATGTGTGAGGGTAATTCAAGGTAATCCCACAAGGTTTGTAAGAAAAATGAGTGCCAAATCATTAACTGTTACCCTTTTCAAAGATAAAACATTAACAAAGTTTCATGTTTACAAAACCAATGTATTTATTAACAGAACACAACCATATGGTTATATACAAAATGAGGGTATATTCTGATTTGGGGAAGGGGGAACAGCACCCAAGTTCTTGCCTCCCTCCCATCCAACTCCCTCTAATCTGTGCTGCATTCTAGTACAGACATTATCTTCCAATGATGCCATTTTCAACAAATCACTCTCCTGATTCAAAGTACTTAACAGTTTTTCAACCCACCCTCCTGTGCTGTGCACTCATGGTCCCTTATAAATTGTCCTCAACACCCTGGTAACCCTGACTCTCATTACTTCTCAGAAAAGAACCACTAATGTTTAGTCATACAGTGCTTCGGATTTTCAAAGCCTTTTCATAAATATTATCTCATTTGATTTTCACAAAAGCCTTTAAATGGAGCATTGTGCTAAAGAATTAAACTCAAAATGATGAAAGATCACAGGGTGGCAGAAATGGAACTTTAATCACAGATCTTTTGGTTCCAAGGCAGAATCCCACGGACTCTTCTGTACCCTCCAACTCCAAAACTCCTTGCCTTCCACCTCTAAGCCTTTACTCTCTACGTGGGAGTTCTCTCCATCTAGCCAAATGTTTCCAATTCCTCCAAGATTTTCATTTCAATGGAGCCTTAGGCAACCAGTTGACTCTAAATAAACCACTCAACTCTTGCTTTCCCAGCGTTCAATGTGCGCTATTCATCTTGTACCCTAATCAGATACCTAAGTGAGATGCTTCTTAAATTTTTCCCTGGACATGTCATTTCTCTATCTGGAATCTAAAGTTCTAAGAGCAAGAAAGGGTTTTAGGCCTTACTTCTGAATCACCTACAGCATTTAGTACAGTGTTAACATAGAGCAGATCCTGAAATACTTCTTGTACTGAAACAGAAAAAGAGAACAGTACCTGTGGCATTAAGGATGATTATAAGGTGCAAAGGTAAGTATACAAGAATGAAGCACACAAATTCCGGTGAGAAAGAAAAAGGTAAGGAATGAAGAAATCTGCAGCAGTGCTGAAGACAGCACTAGCAGATCTGGTTTTGGACTTGCTAGTAGCCCGGACGCCAAAGGCAAACTTGAAAGACGAACTGTAATTGCTGCAGGCAGGGGACAGTAGGAGGACCGCTTCAATGATGTGGAAAAAAGGAGCTCCCAGTAAATTTCTGACAACTATAAAGGGCATCTAATGAGTTGTGAAAACACAGTACTGTGAGTATCATCATCTATAAAACATCTATAAATCTACTCATTTTTCAGGCGAGTCTTCAGATGAGCGTTACGTTCTGGGCCAAATTACTCTTTGCAGGGCTCCACGCAAAAGGTAAATCATAGCTGGTCTTGCCGGCTGTCATATTAACCCAGTTCCCTTCCCTCTCCGCCCTTCTAGTATTTCCCACGCCTGGCTGCGATCCATTAAACATGCATGCGTTTGGAAAACTTCTGTCAGCGGGGCTAAAACAGGGCTTTCAAGTTTCGCGAAAATGTGCCCTACCCTGGGAGCACAGAATCGTCTAGACGACAGCTCCTGCCTGTCCTAATAACCAAAAAGCGGACGCGACGGCAAACTCAGCGCCCACTCGTAAGAAGAGTCCCCGGCCGCGCGGAGCCCGCCACACCTCCCCTTCCCTTCCAACTGCTCCGTACCCACGGGGGGAACCTCGGGGTCCACTGGGTCGAGGAGAGCGCCAGCACCGACAACTCATTGGTCAGTTCCTGGAACTGACAGGACGTGAGGCCAATGAGAACGCGGTACTGGGCCGAGGCTAGGTAACGTGCTTAAAGGCAGAGGGGCCTTCGAAGAGAGAATGAGGTCAGGGGAGGAAAATTCGGGCTCCCGGGCGCGCAGGAAGTCATGCGAGTGGTGACTGCGAAGGCAGTGGGAGCGGAACTCACCCACGGCGACAGCGCCCATAGCTGCATCCCCTAATAGGCCCTCGGCCTGGGCAGCCTGCTCCGTCTTCCTCCCCGGTGACGAATTGAGAGCGACGGAGCAGAAGCCAGCGTGACCCCTGGAAAGTAACAACTTCCGTTACGCGGCATTCTGGGAGGTGGCTGTGGCCCTGGGGGCGCAGTGGCACAGACGCTTGTCAGTCGGCGCCTGCGCGGGACTCGCGCCGGAAGTCTGAACGCGGCAGCTTGTCAATGACTTAGCTGTCAATGATTTTTTTTCTTTCCCCCGCTTCCGGCAATTAGGTGCACGTTTGCTCAGTTCTGCGGACTCTGCGTCCCTGTGGATTGCAGTTCACCAGGTTCCTTTCGTCCATGGAATTCACCAGGCAAGAATACCGAAGTGGTTGCCATTTCCTACTCAAGGAATCTTCCCAATCAAGGGGTCAAACCCGTGTCTCTTGTGTCTCCGGCATTGGCAGGCGGGTTCGTTACCACTGGCCCCACTGTGATTATTGGGTTATTTAAATAGTTCTAAAGTATGGGTATGGGTACCTGGGGGTGGTCAGACATTTGTAGTCTCCTGGATGGTTACCTTACTCAGTCACGTCACATTTGAAGGGGGACATTTAAATTTTACTCATTTTCCCTAATTCTGACCAGCCGACTTCTAAAGTTGAGTATATAGTCTTGAACTAACCTTGCTGACACGGTAAAATTTACAAATGTTTACTGTTTACGCGTTAGAAATAGGTTAAGTGCCAAGCCCTCTGTAAAGTGAAATAAACATAGGCTTAGTCGCCTTGGCGTTTAGTCCTATGCAGAAGACACAATAATCGCTAGGGGGAAAGATGCAGGTCCCAATAGAAAAGCAAGCAAAGGCTATAAACAGGTAATTCACAATAAAAACATGATCAAAAGAAATAGTCATCGTTTCTAGTAATCTGATAAAAGTAGGTTAAGAAAGTGGCACCCTAACCTGTCGAATTGGCCAGAGTAATGATGGTTAAATTTGGG